GCTGTTTATGTGTGCAGCTGATTGTATCAGCCAAGAATTATGACAAAAAGTAATAAAATGAGGAACACTTTTTACAAATTAGTTGGGATCATCAACCTTTCCTGAGCTGCATAATATGTTTCGTCTGGGCTGTATACAGTTTTGAATTCAAAGTCTTTTCTTAGACCAGTTGCCAAACAAGGCTATAGAAGCCAGTCTGCCCTGCTATTTTACTCATAGCTTGCGGGGAGAATTGAATTCATACCTTTCTCAAGGGTGTTACCATGTAACTGAATGTAATTAACTGGAATTCAAACCTCAGCTCTCCAATACATCAATCCAGGCTGTAATCTATTACTCTACTGGGCCTTACAAATTAAGTGTAATGCAAACATTTTAATTTCATATATACTTAAGTTTTCTTTTCAACACCACCATCAGTTGTATACTAATAGTTTCTTTTCTCACCTGTCGGGCACCCAATTTCTTGCTTCCCTGTCACCTACAATCTTCAAAAATTTAAATGCAATATCAATCGCTATCTTATGTCTTCCTGAGTCCTGTTCCTTTATTGTCCTTTTCCTCACTTCCCATTAATGCCTTCTCATGCTCTTTCACTTCCTGTAACCCCCCCCCCACCTGCATCTTAGTGGCATTGTCACCTCGCTTGGGGGTGAAACAAATAAAAAAAAAAGTACCTTGACATGTTTGTGGAGGATATTAGAATAGTCCACAACCTATACTGGCAACAAACTACTTGAATAGAAAATGAATTCAGTAAATATATAAAGATAGAAAGCTGTGTAAGACAAGATGTGTCTTCTCAGCAAAGTTATTCAACCTTTACAGTGAGACAATTCTGAGAGAATTAGAAGTCCTACCAGGATTCATTATTGGCAGCCACTATCTTAACAACATGATGATAGAGTTTTGATAGAAAAGTAACTACAGAAGATAATGAAGGAAAGCATGAAGAAAGGACTAAACATCAATTACAAGAAAATAAAATGCAGCCGAACATGCAAATTAAAAATTGGAGATACCAAATCAAGCAAATACAACAATTTAAATATTTGGGAAGTATTTTAACAGAGGACGGTAAGTGCAAGAGCAAAATTAGAAGGCTCATTGGGATAGTGAAAAGTGCCTTCCAAAAGCTAAGAAAAGTATTAAGAAACAGAAAAAAAATCATTAGAAACAAAGAAAAGAGCACTGAATTATTATATAACTAGCAGTAGAGCCCGGGGATGTAACAGTAAGAATTGGGGACGGCTGTTGCTTTGAAAGATGTGCTTTGTAAGTCGACAGGTACTAAGTTTCTACAGAACGTTGAAACGCAATGCACACAAAGTTTAAGTAGACATCATGCAGGCCCAAGTATTCGAAGGAAGTAACGGTAAGCCGTTGTAGCATCAGTCATTTGCCATTACTAAGACATCTGTGAGTAAAAGCTGGCACCAGTTACTGCTTTAATCAATTGGACCGTTAAGCATTACTGGAAACAATTGTGGTAAGTAGTCAAGAAACCACGATTCAGTTAAAACATACATAGGGATTGAAGGGAAAACGTGCCGTGAGGAATCCATAGACATAAAATATGTGCCGTGCGCAATCACAAACAAACTAAAAGACGCGTCTTATGCCCAAAAGACGGCGCTGCCACGACCACAAAGCAGAACCGTAAAACCGAGAGAAGTGCGAACAGTGACAGGGTGTCATGGTAAGAAAATTTCTGTGATATAACTTCCTTTATTCTGATCTGTCACTACCTACATCGCGGCTGAGAGCCCTTAAAACCGCAACGGGGTAGCCGTAAGGCCGAGCATCGTAATTGCAATGGAGAAGTGCCATATCTTCAGTCGCAGTCAACATCACGCTGAGAGCTCATGGAACCGGACCGGAGTCGCCGTACGGCCGAGCGCCTCAATTGCAATGGAGAAGTGCCTTCTCTTCAGTCGCAGTCAACATCACGGCTGAGAGCTTATGAAAACCGACCGGGGTCGCCGTACTTGGCGTGTGTTTTAGATTTTTTTACACGACTACAAACAAAACAATAGAGCCGTATGACAGCCGTAAAGTGTATATGGAAGCAGAAGCCTGAATTTCGTAGACGCACTCGACTTTTGTGACAATTAAACGAACTCCGAAGCTTCTCAAGTGTGAATGTGCTTGTCTGCACTGGTACGAATTGCAGGTGCTCCGATCAACTGTTAATGAAACCGGAACTTTAGTGGAGCAATCATTTCTAATGCCGGTGTTCATGTGTCTAGCAGCTTGTGTTGCAACTGAATACGGTGAGGTTATCATAGTGTACAAACAAACGCGATGATGGCGGGGGAAGGTATGGAAGTCGGAATGCAGCAAAAGAGCTGGATAACCTTTACAAAGATGTCTTAGTAATGGCAAGTGGAGACTACGACAACCTAACGTTAAAGCCAATATGACAAACAAAAAAATTGCCATGCAATCGGACTGCATATGTGTGCATGGCGATTAAACGCTACCGGGCGGGTTGTCTACAGGACCTCCGTGTAGGTTATGTTTCTAGCACAGTTGTTGGGAGAGTAAATGAAAACCCTGTCCTTAGACCCAACTCGTGAGCACCCAACGTAAAGTTGGCCGTGAGAGAAGCACTGCTCACGTAAATGCAGACCCGCGATGTTAAGCGTCTGTCCTTGTGATTTGTTAATGGACATAGCAAAGCAAAGCTTCACGGGAAATTGTGAGCCTCGAAAGTTGATTGGTATGCTTGCGTCTGACGGCAGAAGATGCATCCTGGGAATCAGAACGACTTGCCGCAGCCAGTTGCAATGGTCGCCTCAATCAGGTTCGGAGAAAGGGATTTAATAATGAGGCGAGTCCCGTTGCACTGTTTAGGTGGGAGCAAATTCCTGATTAGCATAATCGGAGCACCAACTTTGAGCTGAAGAATATGAGGTGGGAGTCCGGACGGCCCGAAGGGAGTTCAAAACTTCTATGGGATACTCAACTAATTCAGATGGATCGGAAGTTTTGTTGATGGACTTATAAACATGACATTGCCCGGTAATGCAATCCACTAGTTTAAGGTTGATGGAATCAACTGTACAGTTCTTCGGTGCCAATATGGCCCTCCCAGCAAGCCAATCCGGTGATTTAACAGTGGTGGCAAGCTGATCCATCTGCACAAAACCATGTGTGTCAGATGGCATTTTCCCCTCCCCAAGAACAAGAAGGTCCCGTGCGAAGTCAGCGGATCTGGAGTCCCCATTCAAGTAGGCACGCATGTTCGTGCTCAGTTTAAGAGTCTCCACGTAGCGCCAAAGAGCAGAAGACTTTAGGCAGGCGCGGACAGCGTCAGTGCGTATACCTTTAGGAATAACAGGTAGAGTCTGCCTAAAGTCGCCTGCGAGGAGAAGGTTTACTCCACCCATGGGGTTGGAGGAGTCGCAGATGTCTTGGAGACTTCGGTCAAGTGCCTCAAGGGCGCCTTTGTGTGCCATCGTGCACTCATCCCAAACTATAAGTTTGCATCTCCGCAGAACTTCAGCCTGTGGCGAACTCTTTGTTATGTTGCAGAGAGGAGTTTGTGACCGGCATATATCAAGCGGCAACCTAAAAGCCGAATGAGCGGTTCTACCTCCCGGTAGCAACGTTGCAGCAATCCCGGAAGATGCGACCGCAATAGCGATCTCCCCACGACGCCGTACCTCTGCCAGGACTAATTGAGTAACAAAAGTTTTGCCATTCCTCCGGGCGCATCTAAAAAGTATATACCTCAACTGGAGCCGTTTGCCCTGTCTGTTATGATAGTGAAAGCAACCCTCTGATCAGGTAGAAGTTTGGGCTCGTTTTCGGTAATGTATGCGTTCAGCCCCTCGATGGAGTAGGATGTTTCCCGCAATAACTCAGTTGGTACAGTGTCAAAACCGTCTCTGGACGGTGGTGGTAAACCGTAAGTTGGTAAAGAGGCACCTCCCAGTTCGAAAGAACATCTTCTAGGGCCACCAGCGCTCTGTTGAATATGAAGTCAGTGAAACCGCATTCAACTCCTGGGCTGTTACGCTGAACGGAGAACAGCACATCCTCTGATATGGATTCTCTGTACTTTAGCCAGAGATACAAAGGATCGCTTAGTTCGCATCGCAAAAGCAAAATGGCGAATAGCGTTCGAAGCCGTGATGGCGTTCTGAGAAGTTCACCCTCCGCCATGGCTGCATCCCATTGGGAGTCGTCTTCAAGCAATCCCAAACGGAAGCATGCCTCTCTATAAGACTGGCACTCTATGCCGTTGACAGTGTGAATATCTGTGAAACTCGTTGGCCCAGCAATTTCATGAAGTAGAAGGCGGAGGTAAAAGCACTCCTGCTGGCTGGGGGCACAGTATAAACGCGTCCAAGGCAAGAGTTAGACCTTACATCGGGATAACTCTCGACAGGGTCGCCAGCCTTTCGCCGAACCCACCGGTTGTTTGACCACACGTAGTAGGACGGGACTTGGGGGTATATCAATGTTTGGCAAAAGCATCTGTTGAGCATAATTTAAAGAAATTCGTTAGGTTTGTGTCTTTAGGGTTTTCCTCAACCTGCTGGGGGTTTTGTTCGGTGAAGTACATCGTCTGTCCATTTTATAAGTGAACAGCAAGCTGCACAATGGCTGGAGCCCTTTGGTGTATGGGGAATTCGAAAATTCGCCAAAAGGTCTCGCTACTGCTGAGATAGCGTCCAGCCACGTAATCGGCCACCTCGTCAACGCAATTGTCGCGCCGGATACCGAAAATGGCAGCATTGCTGCCTTTATTAACGTACTTGCAGGTGTACTTAACCGAGCGGCAGTATTCAACGTTTATGTGGCCTCCAAAAGTCTTGGACAGCAGCGGGCAATAAGGCACCACCCAACGATTGTCCGGAAAACGCGGGCAATTATGTCATGGCGGGGTGGGTACTGCAGACCTGGAAAAAGTTCGCGTGTGATTTCAACCCATTTCGGATTGCACGTGAACGTGACGAACAAATCAGATCTCCCGTAATGACGGACATAGGTCATTGCGTCTTTTCATGCATGTATCGAGGGCCACCAGTGTAAGAGGAAGGCGAAATGCACGGTTTGCCGAGATTGCGTAAGTCACTATCAGAACGCAGACCATCACGAAGGTGAATGTAGGAGTCAGTTCTAAGTTTGGATTGGTTTAACCTCTCCGACTCCATTTTTGCGGCCATGTCAACAGCGAATTGAAGAAATAGTTGACGGCACCTGTGCAATTGGTTAAATTCACTCTCTCTAACCATAAACATGTAGGCGGAGCAAGCCCTACGGGAGACCGTCTTTGAGGTCGACATGGAATCGCTGCTTGCCTGGTATATTGCGATTTTGAAGTGGTACCCATCGCTTCCGTATGGAAAAAGAAGTGGGTACTGGAGACAGTCATATGAACGGTGGGTTTCACTGATGCGGCGCAGACTACCGCCCCGGTACCTTATGACAATGTCACGGTTGTTATGCTCCTCACCGTGGATGACTGCGGCGACTTCATTACATGCAGGAGCATTGAAGCGACGCTCATGCTCACCGTGAGGCCGTCTGTCTGCATCGATGACAACGCTGAAAGAGGGCGAAGAGTTGTTTTGCAAAGCAAACTTTAAGCTTCGGATGTAACTGTTAGTTTCGTGAAGCATGTCTTGTAGACAGAACAGAATGTCTCTACAGGGACCGACGGAAATATCGCTAGGCAGAATGCCGAGACGCACATCAACCTGCTCGTTGTAGTCAGCGAGAAAGTAAACTTGTAGGAACTGAGGTGGCTCTCCCTGATCAGCCAAAAGTGATCCCATTAGGTAGTAAACCTGGCCTTGCACTTTGAAAGTAAGCATCCATCCCCCCTCACTAATAGCCTTCGCACCAAAAGACGTCATCTGGAAGCAACAGTTGTACTTCCGTATTGCTTCAAGAAAATGCCTTGACTCCGAAGTTGTATCCAGAAGGAGGTCCCTAAGCGGTTGGGGAGGTTCGTCTAAAGAAGGGAGTTTGATTTTGCCCCCAGAGCAACAAAGCCCAGGTTGCTCACCGGCCCACTTTTTTTGCGTTGCAAAAAGTGCAAACTTTATCCATGGCCCCTATTTGTACGTCTCTCCTAGCGGAATAGTTGACAGTGCAGCCATAATTGTATGCGGCATTTGAACAAAATGACGCAGACGGCGAAGTTACGCCATTCAAAGAAGCTCGAAGTTGGCTAATGTCTTCGAGCCGTTGACGGCGTACTTCAGAGTTTTCTGCAACCCTGGCAGACGCAGTAGAGCGGGCATTTCTAACGTGAACAGTGGTTTGTGCAAGGCTTTCTAAGGCTCTGGCAGACGCAGTAGAGCGGACATTTCAGACGCGGTGGATAGGGCATTTCTAAAGCGACGATGAGCGGTTTCTTGGTGTTGTTCCGAAGCTCTAGAGGCGGCTGTAGCCCTAGTATTCCTAAGACGACGTGAAGTTGTTTTTTCGTAGCTTTCTAAACCCCTGGAGCAAGCTTTGGCGGTGGCATCCCGCAATTGACGAAGGGTTTTCTGTGTTGGGGACTGTGAAACCCTCAACCTAGCCACGCGGACTGTGTCCTGTGAATTCTGAAGTGAACGTTCTTTAACTGAAAGCCTGGCGCGGCGTGCGGACATGGTTGAAGCCGCTGAATCCAACATTTCAGTCCGCGCAGCGGCGCTTTCCGTAGATAAGCGAGCAGCTGAGCTCGAGGCCATCCGTGAAAGACGCAAAGAAGTCTGTTCAGGGGTTTCACTCGCCCTCGCTGCTCTAGCAGCGGAGGCAGCTGTCGTGCGCTGTCCTAAAAGTTTCCTCCTTTTAAGTGGCATCCAAACAGTAAAAACGTCAAAGAGGGTAAAGCTTAAAAAGAGATTTCGATAAATCCAAAACGTAAAAACGTGCACTGCTAACGTTGACACAAAAAGGGGAACACCCAGTAAAATGAGTTCAGATGTTACTAAAGGGGAACTCGAAAGTAAAAAAAGTAGAAATTTAAAAAGGTAAACCAAGGGTAAATCCAAAAGGAAATGGGTTTTTAGTACAATTAGCTAACGTGTGTGGGGTTGGGTTGGAACTATAAAACAAAAAAAGCAGCTAGAACACATAATCAACAACTTGGGGTGTCCGAAGTAGGCGAATAAAGTAAGCCAAGTGCGTGCACGCGGGCAACAATAAACGTAAAAGTGTGAAAGCACGCCCGAGTCACGCAATAGAGGTGGTTGACCTTGAGCGCACTTACACATAAGCTGACGCGCGATCACGCGGGCGCTATAACGTGTGAGAAATCCTGCGCGATGATTGGACAGGCCCCAAGGTCAAGCTCTGTGAAAGCGACCAATGGGCTTGCAATAGTCTCGGTATCGACACGCGGACTCGATTGTACGCAGCTGTGTGTGTGTAAGGAAGTTACAAAAAAGATTGATCTGCGTGCAGCTACTGTTATTTTTGCTGAAAAATTCTGAAATTTGACACACCAAAAGGTGATAGTAAGCTGCAAGTGTGTCGTAAATTTCATTTGAATCAAACCAAAACTGTACATACTGTGCCAGCGAATGTGTGTTCAGATGACTAAATCCAGTCCCTTGGTACCCCCGTTTATGGTTCCCTGTTCAAGCGGCTTTGACAGTCTTGCAAACAATTTGGTACTTGTTAGATAGCCAAGCATTAGTGCTATCAGAAACTGGACCATTTGCTTTGTTTTGGTGGTTCGGTAACAAAACATCGTCCAAAGACTACGAAAAATCTGCATAAATGTCCCTTACCCGCGCTTTCAAATTGATTTCGTGCAAAAACAATTGTGGTTTTCCAATTTTTGGCGCTGTCAGAATCACCGCCGGGTAATTTTACGTAGTCCTGTGAAGATTTGTTGAAATCTGTTGAAAAATGTAGGGAATCCGATCCCATATATAAACGAACACACACACACACACACACACACACACACACACACACACACACACACACACACACACACACAACCTGCGTTTTATAATAAGTAAGATATCAGTATTCTTCTATGAGGAATGCTAAACAATCTCTTTACAGATGAGACTTGATGCAACAGAAATGTCCTACAGAAGGATGCTGAGAATATCATGGGCCAAACATATGAGCAATGACAAAGTTTTATAGTAAATGGATACAAAAAGGATGCTTATACTTAACATCAGAAAGAGATAGTTGAAATTTCTAGGGCACATAATGAAGAAAGAGAGCTTGGAAAATTTGATACACACAGGGCTTATTGAAGGCAAAAGGGACAGGAAAATAATGCATTACATACTTAGCGAGCTTGAGTAAATGGATGGTAGAACAAGGTTTAGGGAAGATAAAAAGACAATTTATTAAGAGCTAGATAGTACAGGAAATAATCGTGAACCATGATCGCCAACATGTGGAATGACACATAGAAGTGGTGTGTTTGTGTGTGTATATATTAAAGAATAAAGTTGGATGAGTAGTTCATAGGATATTAGATATAAGACAATTTGACAGAAAAATTTTTATTTTACAAGAACAATATCTACATTAGCAAAACAAAACTTGATTCATTGTAAGAAGCTGAACACTTGATTTTTACTTGGACTATCATAGCATTAATATATTTTGCTAATAGACTTGAGACATCAAAAAAAGAATTTTATTTCACAAGAACAAAATCTACATTAACAGAACAAAATATCAGAAGGTTGTGTATTCATATCATGTCGGGGTCACCACTTTGTTGAGGGAATGCTAGTCGTATTTATGTAACAAACACGTGTCTCCTGGTATATTTTTCCTGTAACAATTATTAGACTCGAATGTGGGTTAGAGAAATGAATGAATAACACCAAACGGCATATAAAAACAAACAACAATATATGTATTAGCAAACTAGCTTAAAAGCTGCCCTATTGAGTGGCATTTAAGCTAGCTCCTGCAGAGGGATCTAGATTGGGCCTTCATCACAATAGGTAGGGAGGAGTAGGTGCAATAGGCAACAATAAACTACAGAAGAATTTAAAATCAATCACTGCATTTAAGTATTACATTAATATTTAAGCTTTTAAAAGTTCAATGATATTTCTTGTGCCACCACTCAATTTAAAGACAATTTGATGTACATAGATCCTTACTTTCTGTACAAACAATTATTTCTATTTCATGGTAACTTTCGCTGTATTTCACAATTAATTTTGATTATTCCTAAATTTATTTCTAAGTTATAAAATTGTTATCATACAAAAAAATTTGTCATGAAAAGGCATGTAAAAAATCACCGAAAACAATCACAGTAATCAAAACTTAGAAATCCAAAATTTCAGGATTGTATGTTTGGATCTGGCCCAGAACAGTTTTAATTTACTCACAGAGTTGACCTAATTCCAAAATGGTATGATATGTTGGGCTGCAGCCTCTTGGAGTAAAGTTGAAAACATGGACAATTTTATTTTGAAACACTGTAATTTGAGAACAGTTATTTTTTCATTTGAACATGAGCTATCGAAAGTTAGAGAATTGTGTCCCTTTAATTGTTTTTATCAGTAGAAAACAAGATGGCAAAATCTGAAAACAATTGCAGTAATGAAAACTTGGAAATCCCAAATTTCAGGAATCCATATCTAGCCTGGAACATTTTTAATTTGCTCATAGAGTCAGCCTGATTCCAAAAAGTTGAAAAAGTGTAACACAGTGATGCACTGACATTCGCATTTATTGTATAGAATACAATGACAATAAAAGAAGAAAACATTTAAAGACTTAATTAGATAGAAAACATTTAAAATAGAGAATGTGTGTATGAAGTTTGTGTAGAAGTCCAAGAGAAAAGTAATTGAAAGTGAAGTGAATATGCCCCAGTGGGGGTATACATTTTTTCCACCTGTGACTACATCTTATTGTCTATGAGAAAAAAAAGAAAGAGGATGGGTGAGAATATCATTTCCTATTTATAGGCTTAAGAAGCATCCCCTAGTGACGGTTTTTTAATAAAGTTAAGTGGGGTAACCCACAACATTAAACATCCAAACATGGGATTTTTACTTTAAGTATATCATTATTGAAATTAGATATTAGTACTGAAACAGGTTGGCTGATTTTGTTTAGTAGTGTATTAACCTCTATGGGTTATTTAATGCCAAAATCTAAATATTTTGAACTCAATTATATACCATTTGTAATTCATTTCTTGCATTTATTCTAGTTATTCCTTCTGTCTTGTATATCACCGATATAATAATGCTTATAGTGAACCTTGGAGATCAGAGAAATGCAAGATATTTCCTCTCTCTTTCCAAGTACCTCATTAGTGTTAACATGTTTGCTGAGGTCCTCCTTCTCTGCCCAGCAATTTAAGACACACACAGAGTGGAACACTTCAACTGCATTGCTGAAGGTGGTCAAACAAAATTAGAGAAAGAGAGTTTGTTCCTTGTTAGATTGAGACAATTACAGAAATATCAGCCATTGTTCCACTTTGCTTTTTCTTCATTCTATATTATCTGTCTGAAAAAAAGTGAATTCTCTTAACTGCGGTAAAAGAATTATATTTTCAACATCCTCCCACCAGACAAGAAGATCATTAATGAAATCTCTCAGCTATAACTAAATGGAATTCAATTATATATTCTACATCCTGCAATTAGACTGGAAGATCATTAGCAAAAGAAAGAACAATAGCTCTCTTGTTTATACCCAAAGGGAGTTGTATATTCTACATCCTGCTATTTGAACAGGTCTGCCACTTGTTTTGAACTGGGGGAAAATGGTAAAATTAGGGTGAGGTGCATGTAATAATTTGAAATCACAGGACAGATTGAAGGTAAGAGAG